AAAATTTCAGTCAAGAAAGAGAGCAAGGAGAGTTAGGTGATCTCTTGGACAAATCACCATTAGGGCGCCAAGTTAGGTTCATCAAGAGCAGGTAGGAACAAGGGAAAACAGGAGGTTTTCCCCGTGGACCGACCCGTGACGAGATCCTATTCTCGGGCCCATAACAGCCTGCCTCCCTGTCAACCAATTATGAACTTAGAATCCTCTTCATTGAATACTTACCAAAAAAAATCCCCCTCATTGAGCAATCTGTCAACAATCAGGTCTCTAGCAATCTGTATCCCTTGTAATACAGCTTGGGATTCAGCGTTAATGGAGTGCTCTACTACTGCAGGATCCAAGTATAAAGCAATCATATGTAATACAGCTTGGAATTCAGCAATACTTCTAGATTGCCCAGGATTTCATATGGAGACAAGAGTACATAGTTGGTATAAAAGATGAGGAAGTGGAAGAGGCAATATATTGCTGTTCTCAAATTAAATTATCTACGAAGAAAGAGTAAAATATAGGTAGTGTTTTAACACTGGATGTCCTTAATTTTAATATTCTCAATTAAGCCTCTTCAGGTGAAGTTTCCTTGAAAATTCTAGCATTTCTCTCCTCCCAAAGTGGTCAAAGGATGGCAGGCTGGCAGCCCTAGTTCTTCTCCATAAGAGCTTTCCTCTATTTATTTATTTATTTTTGGAGGGGAGGAAAAGAATTTTCAAATAAGCCTCTCATGCTCCTTTTGGGGTTCCACCTGCAACCAATCCCAACAAAAGCCTTGATTTTAGGTGGGATTGGCTTGCAGTGAATTGCTTTTGCAGCAATTTTTATCATTTTCTGCCAAACGTTGTCATATTTAAGTTCATTCTAAAACTCAATGTAGAACCCTAAGTACCAAAATTTTGTCAGTTTTTTCTCACAAAGATAATTTTTAATTGTTTTGTGGAATATCTGCTTAGAATGCCTTTTTTTATCAGTAAAATCTTTCATTAATAACAGAGAGATTAAGATACAATAGCTAAAGATTGCATAGGAAATTGCAATCTCCAGCAATCAGTTACAATTCTGCCCAATACAATGAAGATCTATTTGCCCCTTGTTTTGCTAGGGTATCCGCCATCCCATTTGCATCCCTTTTAATCCAACCAAACTGAGAGTTGAACTTCCTTGCAAGTGTGCCAATTTCTCTGAAAATAAAATTGAGCTTCCAAGGTGCTGATGTGATGTTTTTGGCCCAAGAGGTGACCAATAGAGAATCTCCTTCAATTTCTAAGTCTGTTGTTCTTATCTGCTCAGCCATCTTTAGACCTTGAAGTAGGGCTAGAGATTCAGCATGTATTGAGTCACCATAACCTGTTGGTCCAGAGTAGAATGCCACCACCACACCAAGATAATTTCTAAACACACCCCCTATGCCTGCCCTTCCAGAGTTGCCAAGAGAACTCCCATAAAAATTCAGTTTTAGTTTGTTCTGTGCTGGTGGCTTCCATTCCATGCTTACAAGAACTTTGGGTACATCTCATTCGTGGAGTAGTTTCTAAATATCTCCATGGTCTTCACCCAATATGCAGTTCTAATTTTTATGGCTTCAATAACTTCCTCCATTGTTTTGCTTTTTCCTGAAAAGATTCTTAGGTTTCTTTCCTCCCAAATAGTCCATACTGTA